CACCTATTCAGTATGATTTTACTTAATTTTTTTGTTTGTTTTGTTGTTTTTGTTTCTTGTTTTGTCATTTCATGGTTCGTGTTTAATCTATTTATTATTTCATGCCATTCCTTGAATTTCTATTGTTCATTGTTGTGTTGAAAATCAAAATGAATCATAAATAGAGAATTGGCTAAAAAAGTGAAATAACTAAAAAAGTATAAAAACAGAAAAACCAAAAGTCAAAGCCAGAATGTCCTGAATGAGCTGAACGTTTTGTTGAAAGAGCATCAAAATCGTAGAACGAGAAATGGGTCAAAACACGTACAGAAGGAGACATGATCTAATGGTGTGCAGCATTAAAGTAATAAAAATATGATCTAAACGACCTCTTGCTCTGCGATCTGCAGCGTGCTGTCGATGTCACCGCCTGACAGCCGGCTGGGGGGCGGAGCCTCAATCCTCCTCAACAGCCTCTGCTCGGCCTGGTCCAGTTGGAGAGTGATGTTCTGCAGCTCCGACAGGTACGCCCGGGACACAGACTCGTCCTTCTCCACTGCAGACATGAACAGGACAGAAGTTAACTGAGCTTCTTCCAGACGAAAAGATTTTAAAACCTTCAGCCGAGCGCCCGCCCACCCTGCCCCGCCCCGCCTCACCTGACTCCATGTTGAGCAGCAGGTCCTGGCAGTGCTGCTGCGCCTGCTCCACCTCCCTCTCCAGCTCCCTCCTCTCAGCGGGCGTGAACAGGGAGCTCTCCTTGCTGTCGGACAGGAAGTCGGCCAGCTGGGACTGCAGCTGGTCCAGGACGTGTTGGCGCTCCGACGGACTCTGGCTGCGAACCTGAGGGCAGAGAAACCGGAGCGTCAAACGGAGACGAGGACAACAAGACGTTCGTCGGCTCCGGTCAGAAACACGGGGACGTCTCACCGAGTCCAGAGTCCACCCRGAGACGGTCCGGACGTCTTTGAGCAGGTAGTTCCAGGAAACCACACTCTTCATGTTCACATGGAGCTGATGCCACAGAGACATGACCTTCTGGTACAGCTGCTCCGCCCTGCAGGCAGGAAAACATCCAATAATAAACAAACTGCAGCTCAGTGAGCTCCACTACAATTCACTATCATATAAATTACTTCAGAACTAAACGGTAAAATCTATTAAAGTATTGTACAAAGTTAAGGAGTTATATAATGATAAATCACTATTTACACTATATAATGAAATAATTGTTCCACATTTGTTTTATTGTATAGAAGTCTGGGGAAATGCATGTAAAACCATTACTACGTATAAATTCCTTTAACAAAAAACAGGTAAAATCTATTAAAGTTCTGTATAAAGTTAAGGAGTTATTTAATGGTAAATCACTATTTACACTATATAATGAAATAATTGTTCCACATTTGTTTTATTGTATAGAAGTCTGGGGAAATGCATGTAAAACCATTACTAATCCTATTTTTATTTTACAAAAAACAGCCATAAGAATTATCATAAGAAACTATCACCCATCTAATACATTGTTTCATCACTTAAAATTATTAAAACTTTATGAGTTGGTTGAATATCATATTTTGCAGGTTAAAGCTCATAAAAATGTGTTACCTTCAAACATCCAATCTAATTTTGTTAAAAGGGAAAGCTGCTATAATTTGAAGGGATTACAAATGTTTGTTAAACTGAAACTCTGAAATAATCTGAAGGACAGATGCACTTCAGTAAAAGATTTAAGACTGTGGAATAATCTGGAAAATGATTTTTAATAATCATTTTCCAGATTATTCCACAGTCTTAAATCTTTTACTTTGGATCAGTTCCTTTAAAAAATGATCTAAGCAACAGTGTTAAAGAAATGTGAAATTGTTTAATTTGTATTTGTATGAGTCACTGTTTGAGGAGTTGAATTTTTTGTTTTGTTTTATTATTTATTTTATTATTGTTTGAAATTAATATGATTTTTTTATAAATAGGAGCAGATATAAGATTTCTTCTTCTGCTGCCTTTCATTGTATGTGATTTGTATTGTTTTGTTGTATGTAACATGTTTTGTTGTTTAAAATGAAATGAATAAATACTATAAATAAATGTAAAATAATAATTTGAGGGACAGGATAAGAGGATGTAGCAGAGGTTTAAAGGTTCTGATGATCCCACCTGCCGGCTGTGTCCACAGCCTCCTGGTTGGGAGGCGGGACGGTGAAACACACGGAGGGGACCATGGCCTCGTTCCCCGTCGGGCTGATCACCTTCCACTTGGTCCTCTGAGAGTTGTCCTCCAGAACGCACTCCTCTCCTCGACTGATGGTGATCTGAGGGAAAACACCGGGACGGGGGGACGAGGACGGGGGGACGGACCGAAACCGGGAGAAAATGAACAGAAAGTCAGGGAGGTTCCGGTTAAAAATCCAGACAAGATGGATGAGAGGAGAAGCGAAGGAGGAGAAAACTAAACGAAAACGATGAATGATTGGAGAAGCAGACATGGAAACCAAGCCGCTTTGCATCAACACAACTTCGATCAGAAAAGCTGCAGATTGAAACTCAAACCTGAGCCGAGTTTCACCGTCCAGGACCAGAAAGTCGGCTCAGGATCAAACAGTCTAGATTTAATTTTTTTTTTTTTTTTTTTTTTTAAGTTTTGGGAGCAGATCTGCCTTTCTCACCCCGTCCCTGCACACAGACACACATCAATAATGCAAAGCTGCACAAACAGGAAGTTCATGAAATGTTGGGTTTTTGACTGAATGATGCCTGAGAGGCGAAGGGTTAAATTCATTTCAGCCTCCTGCTTCCATCAACCCATTTCAATCTGTTTTTATTCAGATTAAACTGCTTTCTTAGATTAAACACTTTCCTTTAAAC